TGGTACTGGTCTGTGGCCTATCAGGAAATGGGCTGCACAGCAGGAGATGAGTGGCTGCCAGGAAGCAGCAAAGCTTCATCTGTATTTACAGCTGCTCCCCATCACTCACATCACCGCATAAGCTCCGCCTCCTGTCAGATCAGCAGGGCATAAGATTCTCATAGGAGCGCAAACCCTTCTGTAAACTGCGCATGAGAGGGATCTGGGTTGCACACTCTTTACGAAAATCGAATGCCTGATGATCTGAGGTGGAGCTGAGGCAGTGATGCTAGTGCTGGGGAGCAGCTGCAAATACAGATTATCACTAGCAGAGAGGTTTGCACAATAAATGTATCGCACTTGAATCATCCTGAAAACATGCCCCCCCCACCAGTCCATGGGAAAATTGTCTTCCATGAAACTGGCCTCTAGTGCCAAAAAGGTCGGGGATTACTGTGTTGAACCGTACAGGAATACACTGTCAAATATGAGATGGTTTTTAACTTTCTTTGGGTTATATTTGTATAAATATATTGTAAATATCTGTCCCAAGGCTGAGATTCCTGAAGTTCTAGTATGCCTTGATATGTATTATCAATAATATTAATAATTATCTATGCTATATTTTTGTGTGCCATGGAGACAGCCAGGTCTTCTTTACATCATTGATCATGGCTATTGTAGGACTTTTTATCATCCACAGACAATTATTGTTTTACTTTGATTCTTCTTTAACAACGGATTGTAATCAGCTATAGTCCAAGATTTGCTTCTTTAAAAAATATCATCAAAAGAACTAAAATATGTTTTTGACTTTAACATTGCTGATTCTCTTGCTTTGTTTTCCAGAGTCATGACAAGTCTTAAGTAAAATAACAAAGTTTATCTAATGTGTCCAAGATTTTAAACTGTTAAATCCTGCCTGGCCCGACCCTATTCAAGGCTACTAAAAGTACAAACATTCTCCCTCTGGGCTCAGGGACTATCTCAAAAGAGATAGGCATGTGAAATTGTAAGGGCCTATTTCAAGAGATAGAATTAGTTCAAACTCCACATTTCCCCTAAGATGGCTTTGTTTCTCAGCCCCCTTTAAATTTATGTATGGGTGATCTATCCTCTTGTCATCTGTCACCTCAACTTCCCCCCCCCATCTTGCCAATAGTCAACCTGACCTGACTGCTTCTTAGGGAATATGCAGACACACCCCTTCCTCAACCTCAACCTTTTGATTTAAAGGGACCACAACACTTACATCTGGAGACTGGGTCTTAACTTAAGGATCTCCCAGGACAAATGGGCCCCCTACAACCCTCATGGAAGGGCCCTTTTCAAGTAATTCTCACCACTCCCACTGCAGCTAAACTTCTGGGAATTCCGTTTGCAGCTCAAGCCTATAGATCCTCCAGAGGAGCCTTCTTCCACCTGCCACAAGCTCCCTGAGGGTCCAACGACCTACACCTGCCAGCCCATCACAGATTCCAGACTCTGATTCACCCACCAAAAAGCCTCAGAACCATGAGCTTTAATAATATGCTTCGGTATATACGGCTTCTTATTGCCCTTTTCCTCTTCCTTGTACTTTTCCTATGGCTCTACAAATGTTGCCACAACACAGCTCACACACCAGGCCAATCTTGTTTCTGCCCATGCTGAAACCCTTAATGATAATCTTGTTTTCACACACCCCCCCCTCACCAGGCATTGTACAACATCCCTATTTGCCTACAGTCCAGGAGGCCCTTCAGCTTCTTAAAACTGTGGACCCTTCTCAGTCCTACTCAAAGTGTTGGATTAAACCACCTCCTCCTAGACTCTCTGCATAATAAAGCTGACTTTAATCTCCAGGGAACAATATTCACCTCAGCCTCACTGGTGCAACAAGCTCGCCTGTGCCCAATCCATCTCGCCCAGGCCCTTTTGTGGGAGAGTTTTCTGATGACTCCCTGGCCTACAGTCCCACATTTTCCAGCTGACTGCTAACCATCTTTGGGTTACCTTACCCTCCCAAATCCCTTTTCATAACATATATTTTCCTAAACCCCATAATGGCACTACCAATTGGACCCAAACAAGCTACTTGGGGACTGGCGTTTGTCCCCTATCCCCACAATCATGCCCTTTCAAGGCAAAAACTTTTGGTTCCAACCTAGTAACATCAACCACCAGGGATGTCAAAAACTAAAACCCCTCAGGCCTATAAGATAGGAGGAAATCCTACTACTCCTTCTTTCAATTGGACATATAACCTCTCTACTATTCCTGCATATACCTCATGTTTACCTCCATTGGCTGGAATGACTTTAGCTTCTACTTATGAAGACCTAGAACATTATAAGGACCACCTCACAATGCCTTATTTCAACATATCCATAGGTATTTGTCTAAATCCCAAAAGCCAAACTTACTTTCTCTGTGGATCAAATGTTTCTCTATGCCTCCCAACAAACTAGACAGGAATGTATACAGTGACGTACATATTCCTAACCTTACTCTTGTCAATGCTACCTTGCCTCTACCCATTTATTCCTCACACCCTGATCCAAGCACAGTGCCTTTGTCATCCTCGCAATAACTGGAGTAATAGCAGGGCTTGCTACCAGCACCACTGGCTTTCTTAACTCAATCTTTATGGCACAAAGATTGTTTTTAAAAATAAGCCAGTCAGCCATGGACTCAGCCCAACAAAATGCTATATCACAATAACAAATAAATTCCCTGACAGGAATTGTTTTACAAAATAAATGAACTCTTGATCTCTTAACTGCTAGTCATGGAGGCACATGTGCTGTGCTAGGAGAAGATTGCTGGGGGTTTTTCTTGTTGTTGTTGTTAACCAGTCAGAAAAAATACGAACTAACATTCCAGACATTCTAAAAAGGACTAATGCACTCCACAAACAAGGAACTTCTAGTGGATTTCACTGGCGGAATTTAAAACTCAACATATGGCCATGGTTCTCTTGGCTAACACCTCTATTAGGGCCCCTAGTGATTCTGCTTTTAGCTCTCATTCTCAAACCCTATATTCGCCACTGTCTAATAACACTCATACAAAACTGAATTCAAGCCTTAATAGTTTCTCTTCAGCAAAACCCCCATTCTGCCTCCAGTCTTACTTTTAAGACTGTCCATTTTCAATCCCCTCTCCTTTCATAACCCAGATGAACTCTCTGTCAGGTAGGGACATCTCAACCCCCTGTCCAACAAAAAACAAATACAAAAATAAAAAAAGCGCTCCGCCACATTCCCCAGATTCTGAGTTCATTAAATAAAAATTGTAGGTTTAACCAAAGAGAGGGGGAAAATGAAAGGTGGCCTTACTAACAACCTATCTAACAGAGGAACATAAATTATCAAACAGAAAGTAAGGGAAATAAACTCACAGTACAACTGCCCTTTGTTTTAATTAATACACTTGTGGCCTAACTTGTTGTCTCTCAGAGTTATTTCTCAGCCTTGAAGGGCCCTAAGCAGACAGTTGAGGTGCAAACTTCCTGCTCCAGCTCTCTGCCTCAGTTTCTGTCAAAAAACCATATTTCAAGGACTCAGATAACCCAGCCTCCCAGAGAAAAAAAATAAAGAACACCTACAACAATTTCACTGCCGCTTCTGTTATTAGTTTACTAAAGCGTAAGGAACAAAAGCCATTTTTACCCTTTAAAACTCCAAACAACTTGCCCTCAGCTGCCTGAGCACTTCCTTCCTTCCTCTGTGTGCCATGGCCATTCCCTCCTTATCTCTCTCTTTCTCTCTTTTTCTTTCTTTCTCTCTCAGGAAAATAAATAAACATTGTACTTCTTTCTATCCTAAACTCCATGTGAGAATTCTTTCTCCAATCTGCACCGTGAGCTCCTTGTGAGGTTCCTACCCTAACATAAAAATAAGAAAATAAAGAGATGTCAGGCCGGGTGTGGTGGCTCACGCCTGTAATCCTAGCACTCCGGGAGGCTGAAATGGGTGGATCGTTTGAGCTCAAGAGTTCAAGACCAGCCTGAGCAAGAGTGAGACCCTGTCTCTACTAAAAAAAATAGAAAGAAATTAGCTGGACAACTAAAAATATATATAAAAAATTAGCCAGGCATGGTGGTACATGCCTGTAATCCCAGCTACTCGGGAGTCTGAGGCAGGAGGATTGCTTGAATTCAGGAGTTTGAGGTTGTTGTAAGCGAGGCTGATGCCAGGGCACTCTAGCCCGGGCAACAGAGTGAGACTCTGTCTCAAAAAAAAAAAAAAAAAGATGTCAGCTTGTGTGTATTATTTAGAACTACAGATGTCAATACTAGAAGAAGCAACTAGAACACTGAGAGTGGTTTCTCTGGGCAGCAGTAGGAACTAAAGAGAGCAAGTCAAGTGACTGCTTCTAGACCTATGAGCATTTAGAGTGTGTGTATTATTACTTTCATAATTTTTTAAATTTAATGGCAATCATGTAAATTTTGAAGGAGCAGTCCTAGAAAATTTGCAACTGAAAATTGGGAAGCCTTGACCTATCACAAGCTTACAGGTAAAAAAATTACTTTGAAACACTGTATGTGAAGACAAACAAAGAAAAATGGCAAGTACTTGCCCACCACAAAGAATGATTAACTAATACATGGCACATCCATACTCTGGAATTCTCTACAGCTGCCAAATTCAATGAGCTAAAACCTGTGAGATAATGGCATAGTTTAGAACAATGTCCTCAAGACGCTATAAAGTGAAAAGGCAAACTACAATATACAATGATGTGTAGTGCTGCATATTTGCACATACACAGGAAAGGTTCCGACAGGCTACTCGTGGAAGAGTTAGCTCTGGGAAGAAGAGGGAAGAGTGAGAGGAGGACACTCCCTCTGTGTGCACACACACACTCGCACATTTGAAACAATTTTTACTAATAGTATATATTACTTTTGTAATTTAAAAAATTTAAAAATGTAATTGCTTAAAGATCCTTTCAAAGTCAGTTTCAGAATGATCTTGGAAGGGGAAGTTTATCCAGTGTAGAAATTTTTGGTGACACTGGTGTTGGAGATTGGTCTAGATCTGTTTGGGGTAAAAACAAACAAACAAAAAAAGAGGCAGGGAGAGGAAGACGACTTGCCAATCCTCCTGCTCTTTGTGAACGTGGAGGCTGAGGGTGGAGCTGAGGGTGCTCCCTGGAACCTGGCCTGGGGAGACGCCAGCTGCAGGGCAAACTGCCCCCTTCGGGAGCCCCCAGAGCACCACCCCCCTGCCCCACCCAGGAGCACAGGCCCTGCACCCTTCTGCCCCAGCCTCTCTCCCAACAGCGTCTCTCCGAATTGGGTGTCAAGAGGCAGCTGTCCAGGATTTACAACTCATCTCTTCCAGGCCCCCTCCTCTCCCTCTCCTTTGCACCCTACAATTCCCAGTTCCAAATAACCAGGCCACGCAGTTTCAAGCATTTGTTTCTTCTTCTCCTATTCCATTGAGGAGGCTGAAAATTAGAATAGTTACAATGAATTGTGGAAAGAGGTAGGATCTCGGCCTCCCCAGGGTTTGAGACTCTTAAACCACCCTTTCTATTAATATCTTTCCTCAACCCTTCCCCAGGCTTCTGACTCTATTTTTCTCCCTTTCTTCAAAACCCCCAACAGAGAAGCGGGGAGGGCAGGGGTGGGTGTGGGTTAGGCAGGGGTGTAGGGGCTCAGGGCTCCTGCAGGGTGCTATTCCGCCTCTTCTCACACACCCAGCGGAACACCTGGAGGCAGAGATTGTCGTTCCAGCGGCCATCCGGCTGCATTTCAGCACAGTCTTCACCGCCATCCAGCTCGTGTCCCTCCCAGTTGTCTGGCTGGGTGATGGCCCAGTTCCTAAGGAGGCAGGACAACGCTCAGCTCTGACGCATCCCCCAGCCCCAGCATCCCTCGCCCCACCCCAGAAAAGCCTTGGAAGGGCTCAGGGGTGGAAGGCGCAGCCTTGGAGGTTGGGAGTCAAAAGGAGAGGGTTGGGGAATTTGGTCCCTGATGGACAGGTGGGAGAGTGTGGTGGGGTGAAAAGCCAGGTGGCCGTCCCCAGGGCAATCTAACGAGGCGATGGAGGGAGGGGCCTCTTACTTGTAGCTGTACCTATACTCGGTACCATCCACCCATTTCCAGGTGCCATCGCTGTCGGTGAGACCTATCCAGGCATTAAAGGGGCTTGTATGTTGTGCAATGAACTTCTGGAAAAAAAGCAGGTGGGAGAGAAGTTTCCAGTCCCTTGTCCCTTTATCCTCCCTTTATGCAGGCATGGAGCTGTGTCCTTCACCCACAGGCTGAAGCGTCAGCTCCCAGCACGACCACCTCCGGGCTCTGTCTTCCCTACCGTGGCTACTGTTCAGTACACACTTATTGGCTAGACTTTGCACCCAGTCTTTACAAGGATTATCTCATTTAATCCTCAGAAGTCCCTCAAGCTGGGTGCCACAATAATTCCTACTTTGCAGGGAGCTGGCAGGGCCCAGAGAGCCAACCTGGTACCTGAGTTTGTGACCATGGGCCTCCTCCACAGCCCTGGCCCAGCGTCCCCCTTCATTCCAACTCAGCTTCTACCCCATCTCCCGTCCTCTCCCTGTCTTCTGCCCACAGCCTCAAAGTCCTGGAATCCTGCCCCTGGTCCCTGCTCCTGCTGCCCCCGTAGGCCCCAGACCATTAAGGACCTCAGTTTCACTAGCCTCTCAGGTTGCTCTTGCTTCTATGCATAGCTGTCACTTCCTGAGGTTTGCCAGGCCCGGGGACTTCTAAGTTTAGAGCCACTTCCCAGAGCCCTGTTGTGACCTGGCTACATGGAGTCTGGAAGTCTGTGCTGGAAGTGGGAGGAAGCCCTGGGTGCGAGGGGGCAGCCCAGCCAGCCAGCCGCAGGGCCTTGGGCGAAGGTGGTCTTTGAGCTTGCAGAGACAGCCCCAGGACTCGTGCACATGCCCTAGCGCAACAGCCCCTCCAAGTGTTTTCTCTTACAGATTCCTGAGGACTTATGTCTCAGGGTTTGGGAGGGTAGCTCGGGAAGGTATGGTCACCTAGCTCTGTGGAAGAAGCAGAAGGATGGATCTGGTGACCAACATGCATATCTAATGGTTCCCTTTGACACGTTTGAAGGACCTCCAACTGCTTTAGGGGAAAATTGACTGATTCCACTCACAGTCCCTAGAGACACAACTAAGGCTGCAGTTAGGCACCTCGTCCGAGGGCAGCTTCAGTTACTGTAGCATCCCTAAACTCTAGAATCCTGCCAATAGGACAACGTCCTGTGTGTGAAGACTCAGGCCTCAGAGGCAAGTGCAGCTGCTCCCCAAATTCAGAGGAGTCAACAGAGTGGGAGAGAAAGTGCCCGGAGACAAGATATTCTACCTGATGCCACCCACTACCACGCTCCCGCTTTCTGTCACTACAAGAAACCGAATAACTGAGCAAAGATTGCAGATCAGCAACATCCAGCCCTCCGTGTTGAAGACTGAGGGGAGGACCCAGACAGCAGCAGACGATCGGAAAAGACAGTCCAGGTAACCCGTCTGGGTGAACAACAGGGAAGAAACAACAGGAAAGAAAGAATTTCACCCATTCATAAAAGTGGCCGAGGGGGAAAATCATCATGGATCTTCTGCCCAAAAAAGGGGAAGAGGAGGAGGAAGAAAGATCTTGCTAGCAAAAGGAAAGATGAAAAATACACTTGGAAAAGAAGACTTGTTTCAGAATATAAGACGATGTGGAGAATAATTTCTTCCCATTCTCAAAAAATTAAAGAGGAGATGGATGACATAAAACACCTAAGAAGTTATCAGAGAAGAGAACAAGATGATAAGGAAAGGAATTGAAAAGTTTGAACTATATTTTCTTTTTTTTTTAATTAATTTTTTTTTTCTTTAGACAAAGTCTCGCTCTGTCACCTGGGCTAGAGTGCAGTGACGTCAGCCTAGCTCACAGCAACCTCAGACTCCTGGGCTCAAGCAATCCTCCTGCCTCAGCCTCCCAAGTAGTTGGGACTACAGGTGCACAACACCATACCCGGCTAATTTTTCTATTTTCTGTAGAGATGGGGTCTTGCTCTTGCTCAGGCTTATAAACGCTTTTTTTTCTTTTATCCTTTTTTTTTTAGTTTCCACACGCAGTATTGACTCTTTTGGTTTTTGAAGCTAGTAAGTTTCAGCCATTTAAAAGTATCACTGCAATAACTCAAACAACATCTATTCCAAATACCACAGGAAAGAAAACAAAAAGAACACATCTCACATAGTAAATCTGAGAGAACAAAAGAAGTATATCAAACAGACAAAAAAAGACAGGATTAAGATTAAACTTATCTACTAAAAAATAAATGTAAATGAGATACAGTCACCTAATAAAAGGTACACTTATTCGATTTTTAATAAAATCAAAAACAAAACATATACACAAGCAATAGGAGAAATATCTCAATCTGGTCTGCACGGTAGCATCCCTTAGGGGACTGCCCAGGAGGAACCCAAGATTAATCAATCAGAACCTTTGAAGGTGAGACCTAGGGGTTGATATTTTTTTTTAAAACTCTTTGAGAGATGACAATGTACAGTCAAGGCTGAGAATCACTAATCCAAAACAAAGAGATTCAAAAAGGTTAGAAATAAAAGGATGGACAGAGATACAGCAAACAAATGCAAACGAAAAGAAATCAAGGACTGTGGCATTTATATATCAGATGATGAATTCAAGGCAAAAAGCATTAAGTGAGACACTGACAGTCACTTCGTAATGACGAAAGCACCGTCCACCCCGAAGTTGTAGCCGTCAGGAAATGTTGTGTGCCAAATCACAGAGCGCTGAAATCTTAGATTGAACGGCATGAAACTGACATTTTTATAGGTCAAAATTGATTAAAAATTGGCAATTTCAACCTGATCAGTAAAGCAAAGTATGTTTGTAATTCCTCTACCGTGTAAAGCACGTACAGAGCCTGATGCATAGCAAACACTCGATGAATATATCCTGGCCTCTGTATCACATGGTTTGATTACTGTGGCATTACAATACTTCCAAGTTCATACAGAACACAGCCCCACAGACCCCACGGTACCAAGGCAACACATCATGGTTGGAAACAAACACTAGCCAAAGAGGCCGAGTGACCTGGATTCTGGCTCTATCATGGCGCGCTGGCTGTATGGCAAGTTACTTAACCCTAGTGCCCTCATTTCCCCTCCCTTACAGCGGGGACAGTAAGAGTTCCTGCCCCTTAATGTTGTGGAGATTAAAGAACTGAACATATGAACGTGCCCAGCACATAGTAAATGCTCAGTAAATATTACCATTATTACCCTCCTTTTCCAAAATTGTCCTATCCATTCTAATGGGCTGATTCTTCTCTGTGAACTTTGGTGTCTGGTGGCAGCAGTGGGAAGAGGAGACACGGAGAGCTTTGGAGGGACCAGTAACCCATTGTAGGTGAGTCACTGGGCTCCTGCCCATTCTGTTCCTTTCATCCAAGTGACCACCACATCCAAAGGCCAGTACAGGAAGAAGGAGCTATAGGTGCCTCCAGCCTTGTCCTGGCCTAGAGGTCACCCTGTCATGAATTCTGTCTCTGACCTGCTCCTCACCTCCTGGTCACCTGGCTCATGTCTCTTTGCCAAGCTCCTGGCTATAATCTCCCGCCTCTTAGAATCAAGGCTGCTCCACTATAAACTTCCCAGAGTTCTACCACACTTCTGCTTCTGGACTCTTCCTTAGGTTAAAGAGAAAAGGTAAGCCCAATCCAGCCACCCAGAGCCTGCTTTCTGAGGGCTCCCTCCTGCCTTTGGGAGGAGTGGTCTCACCTGCTCCTCCCAGGAGTTGATGACCACCAGGTGCGCATTCTCCAGCTGGCAGTACTTCTCAGCCTCCCGCCAAGGCTTCCCGGAGCGAGAGAACCAGTAGCAGCTGCCCGCGTGCTCCACCCAGTTGACCGGGCAGCAGGTCCTTTCAGAGCCTGAGTGGGGGAAGGAGTTCAGGGGGACAAGATCCAGCTGGAGGGGACAGGCACACTGGAACGGAGACTTCGTCATCCCTACCATTGCTGTAGAGGACCTCCATCTGGCAGGCCAGGACGCGCAGATCGGCTGGGAAGTGCTTCAGATGAAGGAGCAAGGTGGCATGGTCTAGGGGGACAGATGGACAGTGATGTGGGTGGGCATGTGGTCCCCACCTACCAGCGCCAGGCACAGGACTCCAGCCTTTGGCTAGGGAAGCACATACACACACACACCAGATACACACACAGACCCATCGCACACACAGAGATGCAGACACACCACCTACCACACCCAGGGACACACCATAGCACGCCACACACACGCTCACCCACACACACCGGGAGGCTGTCTGACCTGCTTTCAGGTCCTGCTGCTGTTTCTCCAGCTTGGCTCCCAGAGTCGTTATCTTGCCCACTACGCTGCCTCCTGAAAAAGAGGGAAGCTAAACCGTCTCCCTCCGTTCTGCCCCCAGAGTGTCCCCTGCATCTTCACACTCCTGGGGCACAGCCAGGGGCCCATCACCTTGTCCTGGGTCAGGGCATTGCAGGCATCCACCACCTGCCCTCCCCGCCTCGGCCAGACTCCTACCCAGCCGCAGTGGCTCGGGTTCCTCTCCTGCTTAATCCCTTCGGTGGGTCCCCATTTTCTCACAATAAGCCTGCGTAGTGTGGCCCCTGCCCACCCCTCGGGCCACGCTCACTGCTCATCCCACCACTAGAATTGGCCTTCCTCACCTCCTGGCTCTCCTGGGTAAGCCCCCTCCTCTTCACCTGCCTGGCCCTGGGGGCCCTCAGCTGTGGACCAGCGTCCCTGGAAGCCTTGCCCAGCTTGTTGGGCTGGGCTGTCTGCCCCAGTCTGCACCCCACGGCACCCGAACACACCCCACTGCAGACTGGGCCCTGAGTGCCACACACCTGTGCGGACAGACAGCACCAGAGCACCCCACCCCAGCCGCTCACCGTGGGCGCCCAGAGCCCGGACCTCCGTCAGGGTGCTAGAGGAGAAGTTGCCGAAAGTTTCCTTCAGGGCCCGCAGCTCCACTTGCATCTGTGTGCCTTGTCAGGAGACAGTGGGGACAACGTGGGGGGGTGTCCCCAACACCGTCCAAGCTGCTGTCACCCTTCCCAACATCGCTGCCGCCTCCTGAGTCCACCATCTCCCCATCGTCAACCCCCACCTGCCCCAGCACATGCCCCACTCTACTGCCACCCCTTCCCCACTTGCCCCGTCACTGCCCACCCTGCTGGCCACTGTGACACTCACTTTGGGACCCAATCACACAGATGGCCACCAGCAACAGGACGTTGAAGCCCAGGGCGAGCAGACTGAGGCGGAGCGTGGAGCAGAGACGCTGTGCAAAGGGCTGGGGTGGAGGCGGCCCTGCGGAAGACGGGGGTCAGAAGCCAGCACACGGCGCCCCCACCACCCTGCACAGGAGTCAGCACAGGAGTCGGAGGAGGCCTGACCCCATGGGGCCATGAGACTGGGTGGGGAGGGTGTGAGGGGATGCCTGGGCTTTGACCACAGCATTTAAGCAGTGCACGTGCACACACACACACACACACTGGCACTCACATACACATGTGCAAACATGCACATCCACCTACCCAGGAGCACACAACACACATGCTACGTCACACACAAAATTCATATCAGCTGTGTGCAAAGCCCCGATCTTGGACCAGGGGACACACAGAGGGGGCCAGGGGACAGATGGGGCCCTGACTAGGCACACATACAGAGAAAGATCTGTGAATGGTTTCCCTTCTCGCCTAGCTGGTGGGAGAGGCCTCCAGATCACCTCGGGACTTAGTTCTAACTCTTCTAAGGCCCCTGTCCCCTCCGACTAGGGTCCCAGAGACTGGGCCCTGTGTTCTTATAATCTATGCCTAGGTCCCTCCTACAAGTCTCAGACGAAAGCAACTCCTCCCCTCCCAAAATCCCTCTGGGATCCTTAAGTCCAGGTCATTCCACCATAGACCACTCCCCAGGGGCCACACCCCAGGCCCCTTCTGCTCTCCTCATCCCACACCACTCAGAGCCTCCCCACACTCCCTGTAGCCCACACCCCCCCAGAACCCTCATTCCACTGTGAACCCTCTCCCCTTAGCCCACAAATACTCACACACACACACATCTTTCATTTCACTCACAAACACATTTGCACACTCACGAGCACACACATTCGTGCACGCACTCACATAGACACACATACTAATGCACACATTTGTACACTTTCTCGCACATCCACACCCACAGCATCACATGCACGGAGCTTGCCTTGCCCTCCAGCTGTCCCTCCAGGCCCAGAGCAGGGACCGTCCACCCTCCACCTGCAAGCAGGACGCTTGCTCCTCTCTGCCTCAGGCCCTGACTCTGAGCACTTTCCTCTCTCCTCATTGCTATCACACCCCGGCACCCCGCATGCAGGGGAGGCTCAGTCAGGGGCCCAGAATCTTCCTCCCCAGGTCACTGCCTGCCACCATCCCAGTGAGTGACCACCCAGAACTCTTGACCTTTTCACACCAACTCTTCACCTTCCCCACTGCAACCACACCCAGGACCCCGTCTGGACCCAGACAGGCTAAGCCTTGACATCTCCACTGCCGATTTCTGGCTTCTCGCTGCCCCCTCTCCATCCAGAAGCGCTGCGGGACCCCAGTCCTCCCCTCCCCAGCTGGAACCCCACAAATGAGCCCCTGGCTGCTCCCTCCAGGACTGTCCACCCAGCAGGGCCTCTGTCCTGCTTCCTGACCTGACCTGTGATTTCTCAACTCCCGACTCTGGGTCAGCCCAGCCATCTGTCTCTGCACGTCTACCCTGAACCCAGGCTGCCTGTGCTGTAGTCCAGCTGTGCCACCAAATAGCTCCGAGGACATGGACAAGTCATTCGAGTTTTTGGTGCCTCCATTTTCTCATGCATAAAATGGGGATCACAGTTGTAGCTACCTGCTTAGATTATTCAGAGAATTACGTTAGTTAAACGCCACTTAGGTAAGTTTGAAAGTAAAAGAAAGGGTCTGCCCCAGATGGAATAACAGGGGACATATTTACCCTCCCCTGAGACAACAAGGCAAACAACAGACAACTACAAGAAAGGAAAGTTTCCAAGACTGTGGTCTCAGGCAATGAAGGGCAATGATCCCGAGAGATAGGAAACACGAGATGACCCCCCTGACTGCCTCAGCCTACTGCTTGGAGAAAGTTTTCAGGCCACAGGCCAGGAAAAGGAAATCCAGGCAGAGCCTTGAAGACCCCCTGAGTTGAGGAGCTGATGCTGAGGAGACCAGAGAGTTAGACTTCAAAGGATCAAACTGACTTCAAGTTACTTAACTGTATCCCAGAACAAAGCTCAAATACAAAAATACCCAGCACCCAACAAGGTAAAATTCACAATATCTGGCATCCAATCAAAGATTATGAGACATACAACAAAACAGGAAAACACAACTCATACAAGGATTTCAATATTAATAAATCTATCGAAACAGATCCAGAACAGGCACAGATGTTAGAATTAGCAGACGAGGACATTAAAACATATTATATCTGTATCCCGTATGTTCACAAAATTAAGTAGAACCATGGGAGACATTTAAAAGTCCCAAGTTGACCTTCTAGAGATGAAAACTACAATGTCTGAAATGAAAAATACACTGGGTGAGATTAGTGGAAGATTAGACATGCATAAGAAAAATTTAGTTAATTTAAAGAATAGCAATAACTATATAAAATGAAACCCCAAGAGAAAAATAATCAAAAACAAAATGGCAAGAGCACCAGTGAGCTGCAGGACAACTGACATCTGTGTAACTGGATTCCTTAAAGGAAAGGTGGGGGAAAGAAAAAAAATATTTGATGAAACAATGGCCAAAACATTTCTAACTTTGCTGAAAACTATAGACACACACAGTGCTAGGAAGAGTGGCAGACGGGGGACAGGCCCCGGTTAGCAGTTGATCAATGGCAGCTCACACAGTGACTCCCCGTCCCAGGCAGCAGAGGCCGCTGGGGAGAAATGTGCTGACTTGTTTGCATCCGCAGTGGTGTCCGTCAGTCCACTTGGGCGAGCTCCCTCTCCCATTAATTCCAAAACTTCCAGACTCTCTCCAAGCCTTCTGCGCAATCTCTAAATCCTCTCACTCTCGGAAGATTCAACAATATCCTGAATCCTTTTGTGTGTTCACTATGCACCAGGCACCCACTGGACACTGGAATTGCAGGGAAGAGTGAAGTGGGCATGGCCTCTGCCCCATGGAGCCCACTGCCTGCTGGGAAGGCCTATCCTCCCTGCCCCCCTGGTCTGCCCTGGCCAGCAGCAGCCCTCCCTTGGTCTGCCAGCCTCAGGAACGCGGGGTCCCTCCTTCCAGCCCAGCTAACTGATCCCCCTCCCCAAGTTCCAAGTCCCAGCCCTCCTGCCTCCGTGGAACCTGCTCCACCACCAGCACCCACACACCTGATACTCTCCTCCATCCCTGGCTCCTGCCCTTCTGCCTAGAACTGCTCAGATCTCTCTCTGTCTCTGTCTCTGTCTCTGTCTCTGTCTCTCTCTCTCTCTCTCTTGCATTAAAACCTTTTCCCAGACACTGGGGCACCTCCCCCCGACACACATACACACACAGTCCTGGCCGAATGTGTGTTCCTTGCAAGCACATACATGCAAGGCACACATGTTCTCGGGCTGAGAGGAGGAGGGGAGGAAGTTGTCTCCAGCTTCCAGGTGTCCCCACACCTCTGGGCACACACCCTTGCCTGGGGCTCTGTGAGGTCAGGGACAGGCAGAGGTGCTGGGCATCTCACACCCAGAAGGGCCCAGTCCCCACTTGCAGAGTGAATGTGACAGAGACCTCAGGGAGACAGAGGGGGGATAGGGAGCTAAGACCGAGGTGGAGTGAAGCCCCAGAAACTGGACACTTGCGTTTCCAAAGTAGATCTTCTCCCCTGGGATTCTGCCTGCAAGTGCCGGGCTCCTCACCTCTGCTGAGCTGGTCATCACTTTCCTCCAAGTCCAGCTGCTGGATGTCTTGAGAGTCCTTGGCCATGGCAACCAAGGCTGGAGCTGGACCTGGCGCTGGGGCTGAGCTGAGGGCTGGGCTTGTGCTAAGATGCAAATTCACGTGGAGGCTGATGGTGGGATTGAATGTAGAACCTGAGTGGGTCGAGATGGTAGCTTTGGTTGGGTCTCAGGTTGGAGGTGAGTTTGGGGCTGAGGTTTGAAATACTGCTGGTCCTGTCCCTTCTCAAGAGATTACTCAGGCCTTAATGCAGCCAGAAGCCTTCTGTCCATACTGTCATGGACCAGACCACCCCACATCTTCCCACTGAGCCCCCATGGTCCCTGAACCAGGGCGTCCTTAATCCCAAACATCCCCATCCCAGTGCCTCCCCCACCTTGGTTACCTGCTAAAGGAAGGAGCTGGCTCCCGGCTCTGCCAGCAGCGCAATCCTGGGGCAAGGGGAGGTTAAATCCAGGAAAACAGGGGCAGTGGTACAAGTTGAGCAGGGAAAAGGGGAGAAGGGGCTGGTCCCACAAGCACCCTGAGCCTGTGTGTCTGAGTGTCCAAGTGATTCTCACCTGGCGTCTCCTGCCCCTGGGACTTTGGACAGTAAACAGACGTGGAAACAGAGCTGAAACTCAGGCAGTGAGTGCTGGGGGCAGGGCATGGAACCATCTCGGCTCTCCCTGGAGACCAGGAAGAGGGCCTCCTGGGCTGTCCCCACCCCACACACCAGTCACCTCACTCCTCATCGCACCATTTGGAAGAGGGAGCCAGGCCAGTGGGGCTGGGGGAGCTGCTTGCTGTTCCCCTCCGTCCCTCCTCCCTTTCACTTCCTGCCTCTGAATTTCCCAAAACTGTTGGTGTCTCCAAACATCCCCGACCAGGATCGGAGGGATCGGTCCTCTGCTCTTGCCAAATCTGGCATCCGAGCCGCAGGCCCAGCCTCCTGGAGCTCTCAGCTCCTGCCTGACACTTCGCTCTCCTGGGGAGTAAAGTCCCTCAAACCCAGAAGCCGCAGGGGGTCGGAGAGAGCTGTGCAGAAAGCAGCAGGTAGGAAGGATCCGATCTCAGTGGGCCCTTCAGGCCCGGCACCGGCCCTGGGAGCTCACACGCTGTCCTCATGCCAGCCACTGTCCCAAATCCCCCACAGAGGCTTCTCAGTGAACCCTCACAGTACAACACCCCACGAAGTAGGTACCTTTGTGATCCCATTTCACGGGGGCGGGAAGGGCGCCTCAGGGAGATTGAGGACCTGTACTGGGCAGAGAGGCAGGAAGGTAGAGACTGAGAAGGTGAAACAGGGTAAAGAGGGAAAAAATGATAACATAGGAAAGGATCTTCAGCTTCCTACGGGGAGGACTGTTCCATGAACTGAGGAATGTGATTAACTGTCTACACTTGCACTGATAACAGCTTGGGAAAGAAAACATGGATTTTGTCCAGGATTTTTGGACCCTCACAAAACCCGGGCTGCTGAGGACAGGCCTTGTTTCCCTTATAAAGCTGCCCATGTTTTGCCCTGTGTTGAAAAGGGGTCCTGTCCTTTTCTTGTAGTAACTTTCTGACCCACACAGGAAGTAGCCACGCACCCTGACATCCTGACATTCCCACTGGCGGCTTGGCTGTAACCCACAGTGAGAGGTGCATTTCACAGCGTGATCCAGAACGTAGGAGCACCTGCGCACACACATGCATGTGTGTATGTGTCACTGTCTTCTGCATCCCCAGTGCCTGGCACATAGTATGTGCTCAACAAATATTTATTGAATGAGTGAGTGAATAGAAGAATGAACTTGGAGATGTGCTATGGACACAACGGTTTCATAAAACATGCTCACCTTACTATTTGCATTCTATTTCATGACCAACTAAATTGAGTTCCTGGATCCACTAATGGGTCACAACTCAAAGTTTGAAAAACACTGCTGCAAAGCCCCAATCTTGACAGAGATGGCTTTAGTCCTGAAGTACAGGCAAGAGCTTAATAAGTGGACTGCCTACTGCATGTCAAGGTTCACCAACCGCCAACTAGGAATGGGAGGATTCTCACTGGCCATCAGTTTTGAGTAAACTGAGTCTACATTTCAGGGCATGTCACTTACAATCCCCCTCTCCTGGCACTTGGGGAGAAGAGGGATAGGACAGAGAAAACAAGAGACATCCTCTGCATCTTTCTCCCTCTCCCTATTTGAAAGTCATCATTTTAACTTATCAAAAGTTAACAGAGACAAAGTCTCACTCTGTTGCCCAGGCTGGAGTGCAGTGCTGTCATCATAGCTCACTGCAGCCTCCAACTCCTGGGCTCAAGCAATCCTCCTTTCTCAGCAATCTCTCCTTTCTCTCAATTCTCCTGGGTAGTTGGGACCACAGGTGCATGCCACCACACCTGGCTAATTATTTTTTATTTTTTGAAAAAATAGGGTTTCACTATGTTTCCCAGGCTGGTCTCAAACTCCTGGCCTCAAGTTATTCTCCCACCTCAGCTTCCCAGATTACTGGGATTACAAGTGTGAGCCTCCATGCCCAGCCTTCTTATAACAATTTTCTATTTCTTAAAATAAAAACTCCCTAAAATCACATTCTCTTTTCTCAGGAGGACTTCCTTTGTGGAGTTCTTAGCCACAGTCTATGTCTTAGTGGCAACTTAACTAATATTATTTACTAAGTGTTAACCTAGCAGAGTCGTAACTCTGAGTTATTCCCTCATGCCCAGAGGAGAGGAAGGGGCCAGTGAGCCTCTTTGGATCAGAAATAAGAATTTTATCCTTGCTTAGAGATTCAAAGTGCAATAAAATATCCAGGAGTTCAAGACCAGCCTGGGTGACATAGCAAGATCCCATCTCTACAAAAATAAAAGAATTAGCTAGGGGTGGTGGCAGGCACCTGCAGTCCCAGCTACTCAGAAGGCTGAGATGGAAGGATTGCCTGGCCCAGGAGTTGGAGGCTGCAGTGAGCTATGGTTGCACCACTGCACTCCAGCCTTGGCAACAGAGTGAGACCCTGTCAAAAAAAAAAAAAAGATTAAAAAAAGAAACTTCTTGTAAGGAAAACATTGCAAGGTGAGAATAACTAGTATATCTTCAGTAAAAGCAAAAGAAACTATGCTAGTAGTACACAGTAGTACTCTATCACAGTAGAGTACTAAGTTGTGCAGGTCATAACATTGACATACACATATAATGTGAACACTTCATTTTTTTTAACTGAAGATGCTGACATCACTGCATTTGGAAGATGGTATAAGAGAGTTAATTCTCACCTCACATAACGGAATAATAGCCGAACATGATAAATCTCCTTCGTCCAGTGGTCACCTTGCTCTGAGAGGGCAGCAGACCCAGTCAGGGGAGACTGACGAGTAACTGTACTTTGCATCACGGAACGGTTGGCCCTCGGACTTGGTGTGACTTGTGCACTGTCGGGAAGCCACCGGCAGAACGCAATATCCCAACACTTTGTGGATCCAAGTCTCTGCCCTCTGTATTCTAAAGCACGTTAGCAAGAACTCTAGAAACCACAGCTATAGTAGGGACAGGGAGTTAGCCGTTACTGTTGGATGTGGGGAGCGGAGGAGAGAGACAGCTCGGGAGAGCCAGGTTTTTGGCTGAGATAAGCGGTGGCTGGTGGCACCAGCCACCAGCCAGGGAGCCCATGTGAGACGTGCTTTGGCGGCAGGGGTGAGGAGTGACTGAGATCTGATTGGGACTTGGGTTTATCATGCTGGTGTCCCCCACGGGGAGCCTGCCAGGAGGCAGCTGGGGACAGACGAATCTGCCACTTGGGGGGCGGGGCGGGGGGCGGTCAAGCTGGAGTCTAGAATCAAAGCCAGGGAAGTGGAGAAGAGGGTCTAGGGTGGAGGCCTGAAAAACACCCACATGCAACAGATGGACAGAGGAAAGAGCTTGCAGCAGAGAGGTGGCAGGAAAACACAGAGGGAATCAAGAAGCCAGTGAAGACGTGTCACCCAGTCCAAGATGACCGTCTGAGCCTGTGTATTTCCCGCTATGCCACTTCCAAATATTTTCTCTATTGAAATTACAAGAGTAATAATTCTATAGAGAAAATATCTGTATCACTGTTGGGAATTAAGAAAGGATTTCACTCACATTCCACAAACCCCAAGGAATTTCTGCAAGATGCAGTGTGGCTAAGGGTGAGCCAAGGGCAGAGCTGCCCAGGACTCTGGCATGGAGGGAGGCGAAGAGAACTCCATCTGGGGAGCGAACAGAAGGACATCTGGGGAATGCCACAAATATCCCCGCTCTGCTCAGGTGGCGGGAGCTGGGGACAAGGACAGTTGCAGTGCCATGTTCAATGATACTGCCATCTGCAAGAAGTGCCCTGGATACCAAGGTCCACAGTGAGCCGAGGCCCCCGCGGTACTTGTAGCTTTCCCTTGACAGCGCAGACTGGCCCTAGGGAAGGCAGAAGTGCTGCCCGGCTTGGGCTTGGCTGCTAACCACCGCAGCAGCACGTGCTGCCCACGCTTGCTCTACATTGTCACGCAAATCCAGAGAACAAACTGAAACCTCTACGCTGTCAGGAGATCCGCCCCTCTCAACTCCAGCGCTGAACAGACCTTCCCCTGAATGGAGGGTGTTATGGACTGAGTTATTCTCCCCCGTCCAAAATCCATATGACGAAGCCCTAACCCCCAAACGATTTGTGAAAACTGATAGTATGAATTGGAGTTATCTTGTCGTACCAATTAAATTAGAGTTGAGAAACCAAGGGGAAGAAAATAAAAGCACTCAGGGCACAGGGGCCTGCCCAGGGATTACTCGCAAGCCAGCTGCCAAAATGAGCTGCTTACCCTAAACCTGGCCTTACCGAGTAGCTCCTGAAACGAATTGCTGTGACTCTCAGACTGGTTTTACCCACCGCCGCCGCTCCCAGCAGAGCTCGCCCGCTCCCAAAACCTCCGCCAGTGCGATGGGTTTGCTTTCAAAACAATGTGTAACATCTCTCTTTCTAATAAAACCCCAACCTTTTCTTTGTTCTTCGACATCCCTAAGACCACCCTGGTCTGCGTGTATGCCCTGAATTGCAGTTCTGTTTTCCCAAATAAAACGCTTTGTTTGGAGATTAGTCTCTCTATTTTATTTGACTTTGACACTATATTGGGATGTGGGACCTTTAAGGAGGTCATTTAGGTTCAAAGAGGTCATAAGGGTGGGACTATTCCAACAGGACCGGTGTCCTTACAAAAAGAAGAAGAGACACCATGGAAATGCAGAGAAAAGACCATGTGAGGACCCAGAGAAAATGCAGCTGTCTACGAGCCAGGAAGAGACCAGAACCGACTCTGCCAACACCTTGGCCTTGGACTCCCAGGCTCCGGACCTGTGAAAAAATAAATTTCTGTTGTTTCAGCCGCCCAGTGTGTGGCATCCTGTTACAGCAGTCCCGGCAGTCGCATGCCACAGGCACAAAGACAAAGGGAACCGGACATATGAGGGTTCACCGAGGCAAAAGATGGAAATAAATCAGAGAAATGATCCTCTTAAAATAGACTCAGCTATAAACAGGGAAAAGGTTTTTTAATCTACAGTTTATATGCTAAATAAATTAATCTCGCTTCCATCAGA